TAGAAAACAAAAGTCCTAAAAAACCTATTATATCTATATTTTAAATGAATAGAATGAAAACCATGTTTGCCTATAGCAGTTTAAAGTACAGTCTTGTGTTTTGTAGTATTTCATCACATATTAAACATGTGCTTGTTAAAAGTTCTCTGTTCTGTTCATGTCTAAGTAGAAAGCCTAATTAATGTAAATGTGCATTTTGGGAAGACCTGTTCATGGTTATGCCATGAAAATACTTTTTACTGGACAAAATGATTAGTGCTTTATCAAAAGTTCATGAAGGTGAAGTACTTTACACACAATTTAGAATTATTATTATTATTATTATTTGGGCCGCAGTCTCGCTTTGTCGCCCAGGCTGGAGTGCAGTGGCTGGATCTCAGCTCACTGCAAGCTCCGCCTCCCGGGTTTACGCCATTCTCCTGCCTCAGCCTCCCCAGTAGCTGGGACTACAGGCGCCCACCACCTCGCCTGGCTAGTTTTTTGTATTTTTTAGTAGAGACGGGGTTTCATCATGTTAGCCAGGATGGTCTCGATCTCCTGACCTCGTGATCTGCCCGTCTTGGCCTCCCAAAGTGCTAGGATTACAGGCTTGACCCACCGCGCCCGGCCAATTTAGAATTTAATTGAAACCTTGCAAAAGCCCTGTCAAATAGTTACTATTATCCTTATTTTACTGTGAGGATGTTGAAATTTTAAAAAGTTAAGGATCTTGCTTATAATCATGTAAGCAAGTTAGTGAAAGTTAATGGAATTAGAACCCAAGTGTAATTCCAGAGCCCATGTGTGTTTCACTGTGCTTTGTTTTTTCTCCTAATATGTCAGTTCTGTGGATTATACAGTCATAAAAAGTTAACCTATTTTTGAACAAACCTGATATGTGAAAGTGTTAGATTCACCAGCAGACAAATTTGTGATATTCTTTACTGTTGTGACAGGGGATGGTTCACTTTTTTTTTTAAATTTAAGTTATAGGGTACATTTGCACAACGCACAGGTTTGTTACATAGGTATACATGTGCCATGTTGGTTTGCTACACCCATCAACTTATCATTTACGTTAGCTATTTCTCTTAATGCTATCCCTCCCCTGTCCCCCACCCCGCAACAGGCCCCAGTGTGTGATGTTCCCCTCCCTGTGTCCATATGTTCTCATTGTTCAACTCCCACTTGTGAGTGAGAACATGTGGTGTTTGGTTTTCTGTCCTTGTGATATTTTGCTGAGAATTATGGTTTCCAGCTTCATCCATGTCCCTGCAAAGGACACGAACTCATCCTTTTTTATGGCTGCATAGTATTCTATGGTGTGTATGTGCCACATTTCCTTTATCCATTCTGTTATTGATGGACATTTGGGTTGGTTCCAAGTCTTTGCTATTGTGAATAGTGCCGCAATAAACATACATGTGCTTGTGTCTTTATAGCAGCATAATTTATAATCATTTGGGTACATACCCAGTAATGGGATCGCTGGGTCAAATGATATTTCTAGTTCTAGATCCTTGAGAAATTACCACACTGTCTTCCACAATGGTTGAACTAATTTACACTCCCTCCAGCAGTGTAAAAGCATTCCTGTTTCTTCACATCCTCTCCAGCATTTGTTGCTTCCTGACTTTTTAATGATCGCCGTTCTAACTGGCGTGAGATGGTGTATCTCATTGAGGTTTTGATTTGCAGTACCATTCAGGGTGGTATTGCAAATGGTAATACCATAGGCAATACCATTCAGGACATAGGCATGGGCAAAGGCCATTGTGGTTTTGATTTGCAGTACCATTCAGGACATAGGCATGGGCAAAGGCCATTGTGGTTTTGATTTGCAGTACCATTCAGGACGTAGGCATGGGCAAAGGCCATTGTGGTTTTGATTTGTAGTACCATTCAGGACATAGGCATGGGCAAAGGCCATGTGGTTTTGACTTGCAATCAAAAATCAATGGGTTGCAAATTAAGAATTAGTAGACTTCCTCAATTTTATACTTTAAAATTATGCCGTAGGCAATGCCATTCAGGACATAGGCATGGGCAAAGACTTCAATGACTAAACACCAAAAGCAATGGCAGCAAAAGCCAAAATAGACGAATGGGATCTAATTAAAGAGCTTTTGCGCAGCAAAAGAAACTACCATCAGAGTGAACAGGCAACCTACAGAATGGGAGAAAATTTTTGCAATCTAACCCTCTGACAAAGGGCTAATATCCAGAATCTACAAAGAACTTAAACAAATCTACAAGAAAAAACCCCATAAAAAAGTGGGGCAAAGGATGTGAACACACTTCTCAAAAGAAGACATTTATGCAGCCAATAGACATATGATTCACCTGTTTTTTAAATGACATGACGTTAAAAATACTACTTTTCTAAAATTCAGTTTTTCACTCAACGTTTTAGGAATACTTACATTGTAAGATTGTATCAAGTGAGGCAAACCTATATTTTGATGTTCTGTATTCAACACCTACCTTGTGAATGCCTGTTTTCTGCCACGTTCTAGGTGTTAGGGATATAAATGGCTTGCAAAATCAGACACGGTTTCTGTTGGCTCTGGTACAGGTATACCTGGGCTTCAAATCTTGGTTCCACCTCTTTATAATTATGTAATCTTGGGCAGATTACTTAACTCCCTAAGTCTCCATTTCTTCATCAATAAAAAGGGAAGAATAATTAATACCTTTCTTAGAATTGTTTGAGGTTTGAGAGAATGTATGTTCATAACATGGTATCTGGCATGTAGTAAAATGCTCAATAAATGTTAGCTTTTATTATCACCCTAAAAGTAAGTAGCGTTTGAAGTATAAGTTTTGTGGATTTTTTTGTTTGTTTTGTTTTTGTTTTTTGAGACGGAATTTCGCTCTGTCACCCAGGCTGGATTGCAGTGGTGTGATCTCAGCTCACCACAACCTCCACCTCTCAGTTTAAGCAATCCTTTTGCCTCAGCCTCCCAAGTAGCTGGGATTACAAGTGTATACCACCATGTGTGGCTAATTGAAATACAAGTAATTTTCTTAAAAAAAAAAAAAAGACAAACTGAATAAGCTGATTCAGTAACATCATCTTCAGTCTGGCATGGTAGTCATCTTCCTTGAATTATTTGAAAAGTCTTGTGTTTCATTTGTTGTGTATACCACCATATATACATTTTGAAAGTATAGTAAAAGCCATGATCTTTTCACATTTTAAGGATGGTGCTAGAGTCACTGCATGGGGTAATTCCAAATATAAAAGAATATATGTTTGGCTCATGGCAACTATAGTAACCTACTTTTTTATTACCTTTCTTTTGAGAAAGATAGTCACTTTGTGATTTGTTTTTTGGAACAGTATTTGTGAGAAAAAATTTGAGAAATAAATTTTTAAGTGACTGGGAACAGAAATACTCTGAGAGCTTCACTCTGACTTATAATTGACGTTTTGTATGATATCTTGAGTTTTTTGAATGGAAAGTATTTCTAAATATATTTAGAAAATACTAACATTAAAATACAGATATTTTCTATATACTTAGAGCACAATATTTAGGCACTTGAATATATAAATCCAAGTACAAGTAATTTGGAATTTAAAAAGGTACATTTATAAAAAGTTATAAGGGTGGTCAGTCTAGTCAGATTTCCTTCTAGATTACTAAATTGTTTTAGAACATTGTGATTTATTAGAAGTATAAGGAGGAATTAAATGTGTCCAGATACAAGTTCTAAAAGATGCTACATAAAAATGAATCTGATATTTTTAATAGTTTCTATCAATGATAACTTTGTTAAAATAGTTAAATTTTCCTCTTTTGATTTGATGAAAAACCTTACTTGTAATGCTTCTCAGGAGATCTCTTCAGCTATATCTCCTGTAAAAAGATATGTCAGGGTTATTTTTATTATCTGTAATGAAATCTTGTTAGAGAAAATCTTGCTCTGACAGTCAATCACTACCTTTTTTTCATTACCAAAGTCCAAATGCCAAGGAAAAGTCAACTCTTAAATTGGAGAGGCGTATAAACAGTTCAATTATAGTGGCTATTCAAATACATTTTACAATTCTTTTCCTGTTTTTATAGTTTGTTCAGTCTTGATTAGGCTGTTTTAAACTATGTAAAAGATAATGTTTTAGTAGAAATCTGTTTTTCTTAGTGTACATAAAAACATTGTGTAGCTGATGTGGAATTTGGTTGTTAAATGTGATTTTTGAAGGAATTTTTTTGTAGAATAGATTTTAAAAGGTTTCTTTTAGTATATACAGCCAGCTTTTACATTATGTTAGACGTTATAACTAGAAGTCAGTTGTAGTTCTGGAAATGAATATTAGCTTTACTTATTCTAAATTTTTATGAGTAATCAAACTTTTGGCATATATGCTAATTTATGTAACCTCAGTCAAGATTTTCAGACATCTTCTTGAGATTTATTAAAATTAAGATTTACTTACCAGATTTAATGGTTTAATTTTAAAGGAGCAAATTTAAGTATATTTTGTTCTTAGAAGTTAAAGAACAAATGAAATGATTTAGCTGTCTTTTGCAGGGGGGAAATACACTCATTTAAAGTTAAGTTTGTAGATTACTTCATTGAAATGGCCATACATAAAACGTAATTTTTAAAATAACTTTTTGTTTGGCATGAAGTAATATTAACTCATTGAGTCTGAGATTTAGCATCCAAAAAGGTATTGAAAACAAAGTTCTTTCATAAGAATAATGTTTAGTGATGTTCATTTAATATTTTTGAGCTTGAAAAATGAACACTTAGGGTGATTCTGAAAATCAACTCCTTTATTATTCTAATAACACATACTCTATTGAGACCAAGTTATCCATGCTTTGTGGGAACTCAGCCTGCAAAGAATTGAATTTGCTGGGTTTTGTCACTTCCAGGACCAGCCAGGGTTACTGTAGCCTGCCGTTTGACTACATCTATGCATAATTTTGTGCAAAATCATCAAGTGGTACTGTTTGCTTTTAAAGTGATGTGTAACTTTTTATTATAATCATTAATACAATCAAAGAAGGTAGCAGTGCTTTTATTTACTTTTTATTGTCATCAAGCAGTTTTCTAGGAATTTTCAGCAAAATACCAATTCAGCTATAAGTCTAGTATGAAACACAGGAACTGTGAATATGAGCTTTTGGTGCCTGCTATGGAAAAATCAAATCAATAGCTTTAATGTCTTCTTACAATCTCATTTTGCTTCACTATAGCTCTGTTTTAGTTAGATCTGCACATCTGTTTTGCTCCAGGTGGTTAATTTTACCAGTTCAGTTTCTCTGTAGATTTTTGCCATAGTAGAAAGGATTTCAAATCTTAATAGCCCCTTAAAATATTTTATTACCAGTTACTGAAATGAACGATAGATAATGTACATGCTTTGTTTTTTGTGCAAATACCCAAGACAATCTGATTGAAAGACAGCTTAAGGACAAATAAATAGCAAAAGCATTCAGTCTTTATTTACAATATATAGAAGGTTACTGTTTTCATCTTAGGTGGAAGAGTCTGATCAGCAGGAACACCCCAGAGGAAGGACATCTTTAGCGATAGAATTTACATACCGTTAGCTCACAGTAATTGATTAGTAGCAGGGCTCTGTAGTACAGAGCTAGCTGGGCATGTTATTTGGGATGCCTTTGATGCTGTGGTTTTCCGAAGCTTGCTGGCTGCATGCTTGTTGCCTTTGTTCGTGACACAGGTAATTACTTGATAAAATGAAGTGCATCGCTGTGAACAATTGACCCTTTGGAACAATCCAGGCTGGTCAGCAGTCTAAAGCCACACTTTAAAGCCATCATGATAGCCTCAAACTTAAGAGTTTCCAAGGTACAGACAAAGGTGTTGTCTTCCTTTAGTACAAGTCGAGTGCCATTTTCAGACTTTATGAAGTATTTAAATTGGATGATATTTGACGATATTGAAAACTCCTCTGGAAATCCATCCAGCCTGCTTTTGGACACCAGAACAATGCGAGACTTTATTTTTGATATGAAATCAGGAGCATTACAGAAGATTCTCAGTCCTTGTGAACGATCGTGATTATCTGTTATTTCCAAGAAAGTAGTCTCTCTGGGTGTTAGCTGTTCTTTCTCCCACCTGGATTTCACTTCCTCTGCCAGTCCCTTGAGCTGAAAGAATTCTGCTTCTTGTGCAAGAAGTTGATTTTCTCGAAACCCTTCGGGCAATAGAAGTTCTCCATTTCGTAGGAAGTTTAGGACATGCCTGAAGAGGAGCCCATCCCTGTCTATGAAATAATGACCATCAGCGTCAAACGGGCAGAGGATTTTTCCGTTTACTATACCTTCAAGGAAAGTGTCTGGGTACTTGGTCAGCGTTTGTTTTTGAGTAATGTATAAATATCCACCAACGTTGAGGGTCATCAGTGTAGATTTGCAGTTCTTTCCTTGATCAGTATCTTCCAGGCTGTTGTGTTTCCCTTCGTACTCTTTTTCTTTTTCTCTTCTGTTTATTTTACGCTCCATTTTTTGAAGATGCTATTTCAGCTTGTTCTTCTTGGCTTTGAGATTTTTTAAAAAGAAACACTACCACACAAGCACGCCTTTATTCAGCCCCAGCCTGGTGATGGAATGGAAACGCTGGCAGCATCGCCTGCGCTGTCAGCTCGGTTTTGCAGTAGGTGGCGTATCAGCCTCTGTATGCAGGAGCTTTCTGGAGTAAGACGGAAAAGAGAATTTGCATTTAACTGTATCAGGGAAGGGATTTGTTGTGAAAGGATTTTCATGTCTATCCTTTGAAGTAATAAGAGGTACTTAGAATAAATTGAATTTCCTCTTGTCAGTTAAGCAGATGCAAATATTTAATTCTTCATCCAAATGTGAATGTTTAACTATTTCTAAATGCCTGAGTTATTTTTTAATCAGGCAGGCTTAATATTGAATAATATTGTCATCTTTTGGAAAATAATGTATATTGATTTAGTGTCACCTTTTTAAAGTAAACATAAGGTGAAAATTCTAGGTGTATACAATTTTCTTTCCTGGAAAAAGTCACGCATTTCACAGTGGTGTAGTCATTTTTGAGACACAAATAAGAATACTTAACCTGCTACTTGTGACACTGTACTTGATTTTAATTGGATTTGCATGTGATTCTGATTTGGAGATCTTTGTTAAAGGATGTTAAGAAATTTATTTTTATTTATTTTTATTATTTTATTTACCCTAAAAGTAAAAAAATCAAATAGACAGGCTTTACAGTAATCTCTTACTTTTTTTGGTTAAGATTTTCTGTGGAAAATTCATGAACTTGTTTCACTTGGAACCTGCTTTTGTGCTGAACAAAGACTTGGGCAATTATAGAAAATACTGTAACTGTGTATGTGCATGCATATATATGCCATATAGGAAGATAGGAGAAAGATATAGATTCAGAATACCTACTACAAAATAGTGTCATAGGTAAGTTAGTTTGTTTCTTGTTTGTTTCACAGTGGGTAAAAGAAACCACCAAAGCCTAACCTTGTTTTTCAACTTGGGAGCTGGAACAGTGTGAATGATGTCACCCTCCACTTCCCAGATCTTTTTCCTCTTTCCCCTATAACTTCCCTTCCAAAGCAATTTAGGGTTCTGAACTGTCACTTCTAGCATTTAAAGGCTCAGTGGTAAGGAATGTAAACATTGTCCCCAGTATACTATTATTTGGCCTATCTGCTAAATTATTCTGGGAATCTACATTGTTTTTTGTTTTTGTGTCAATTTTTTATTTTTATTTTTGTAGAGACAAGTTTTTACCATGTTGCCCAGACTGGTCTCAAACTCCTGGATTCAGGTGATCTGCCCATCTCAGCCTCCCCGAGTGCTGGGATTACAGGCATGAGCCGCTGCCCTGGGCCACACTGTTAAAAGTTAGACTTTGGTTTATATTTCTCTTGCATTAGAAGTATTTTAAAATTACTTAACTGTATGTTGACATAGAAATATTGGAAGAGATTCTTCTAAAGTGCTTACTTCTTATTTTCTTTAAACAATATTAGATTTTCACGTATAAAAAACTATATTCTTACAGTGATCTTGAAGTTAACTTTCATGCATTATTAAGATCAAAAGTTCATTGAAATTGAACTAGAACACTAAGGCGTAATGTTTTTAGAGCTGTGTTTTTGCTTAGAGACTATGAAATTCAACTTCCTCATTTCACCAAAGATAAAATTGCATTCCAGAGAATTGTTAGTATTTTATCTAGGACTTTACAGCAAAGCCAACTTTTTGACTAAAACTTCCTTTCAGTCCTGCAGCACTTAATAAGACTTACGGTTATATTCTGACAATCTCATGTTTGTCTTGATTTTGCTTTTTTAGATTAAGTTGTTTCTGTCAATACAAGTTTTTAAGAAATACTGAATAGATTTTGAGGGAGAAGGGATACAACTTTGGAAGTTTATTTTCTTGTCTTACCATTACAAATAGTCACTGCACTTGAGTAGCATCGTATAATAACAGAATCAGAAAGGCAGAACAGTTTCATTTATAGGTTTAGTCCTCTTTTTTTGAACTTTATACGGTACCAGAATTAGTACAACATAACTGTAGTATAGTAATGGGAGACTGTGCTAGCATGTTCTTGCTTGTTTAAATAAAGTGATGTGGATAGATACTATGTATGCTGGGTCTGCTTCCTTACACCCTGTTTGGCCTGTCTATAGATGCCTTCATGGGAAGCCCCAATGCTGTTCCTTTTGGAGGATGGGCTTCCATGGGGTGATGAGAGGGCAGGAGTGAGGCAGGACAGCTGGAAATGGGACTGCTGACCTTCAGTCATCACTCCAGGCCCACCTTACACTTCCTAACTCACTCACTCCTGGTTTCTGCTGCCGGGCTTTCAAAACCCCTGATGAGTGCTCGTTTCTGCAGGCTTGCCTGAACAGACCCTGAACCATTCCATCTTGTGCCTCTTTTCCTTGATTGATTTTCTCAGTCTAGACTTCACTCTGGTGTTCTCGGCTTCTGCAAAGTTGACGTGTGATTTCTTTGCCACCCATGGCCTGGCAACAGCAGTGTAACTGAAGCCTTGTCTTAGTGCCTGGCTGATACAAATCCATAGGACTTTGGTGTCCTCTTTGGCCCAACTTGCAGACTTAAGGAAGAAAAATGTAGGCCGGGCATGTTGGCTCACGCCTGTAATCCCAGCACTTTGGGAGGCTGAGGGGGTGGATCACTTGAGGCCAGGAGTTTGAGACCAGCCTGGCCAATATAGGGAAATCCCTTGTCTACCAAAAATTAAAAAAAAAAAAAAAAAAATTAACTGGGGTGTGTTGGTGTATGTCTGTAGTCCCAGCTACTTGGGAGGCTGAGGCAGGAGACTTGTCTGAGCCCGGGAGGTGTAGGTTGCAGTGAGTCGAGATAGCGCCACTGCACTCCAGTGTGGGCAACACAGTAAGACCCTGTCTCAAAAAATAAAAATGGCGCCCAGTAGACCCCACTGTATCCCTGTTACTCCATATTACCTCCAGCAAAGCAAGATGACCGTAATTCATGAAAATTATAGGAGTTCATTGATCATTGCTGCCTGTGGTGGTACACATGCCCCTTAGGAGAAAGCCAGATTATCTCTTTTTAGGCTATTCTAAATTTATATTTACTTGCTAGAGGGTGGGAAGTGGGTGTTACTTGTCCGAGGTAGTGTCAGTAAGGTCTCCACAGCCCTAAAACTATAAAAATGGTGTTTCAGTACCTGTACCAAGGGAGACATCCCTGGATCATGGGACTATGTTTCTCTGCCTCATTGCAGATACAAACTGGAACTGCTCAATTTAGTGGTTTCAGCAGAAGGGTTTAAACCACACATGTTACATATTAGCTTACCTGGATCCACTTGGCCACTAGATTTGAAGATTTTATCTGCCTTTGCAGGCAAAAACATATAAAATTTTGAAAGATTGGGGTCCTGTTTCCTACTCCGTACCTTAACTCTTTGTTAGAGTTAGATCACCTCTGTCTTAGACATCTTTAATCATACATAACCAACTTCGAGAATTTAAACTGGTCCTTAGTATGAGTATATCCTATAGTTAATTGGGTCCAATGCCTAACTAAATTCTGGCAGAACCTTCCCCTATGAGGTAATGCTAATGTCCTACCGTCTGCATAAGGCAGAACTCATTCCAGTAGGAATTCCCATCTTTTCTACCAATTCCTTTTGGGAAATGAGGTCTTTGTCATCCCGCGATTGATGCAGGACATCATTGTAATATATACACTTGCTCCATTTATATGCCAGAGATATTCCCATGCCGTGGAAGGAAGTGGAACCTTACCAGGAGGTTATCTCTCCCGATTGGAAGATACAGAAAGTACGATAATTCTCCTAGACTTCACAGGTCACTCCTCTATAAAATTCAAACACTCTTCAAGGAAAAGGGATGGTCTTAGAAGCTGCCTTTGAGAAGAACAGGGAGCTTCTGTCTCCACATTCTCCCCTTCTATCAAATCTTGGTTGTTGTCAGCTGCATGCTTCTCTGCTTGTCTTTTAAAAGGATTTCTTTCCCATTACCTTAGAAAGTAAAAGCTAGAGAAACTGGTGTCAATTTTTTACTTAAACCTGACACTATCTCTGCCTTGGACTTGCCCACATTTTTTGTTTGTTTGTTTATTGATCTGTGTTTTGACCTTTCTCTGCCTTTCACAAGCTGAGTTTCTTTTTTTTTTAACATGTACTTGCTTCATCTCCTCTTGTCAATAGCATTGAATATAAGAAACGCTCGAGGTATGAATATTTTATGTTGGCTTCTTTTGTGTGTTAAAAATAAAAATTACACTGTCTAATGATTGATGTATTTTAAGAATCAAGGACTTTCCCATATTAATGTAATTATTTTTGAATGTCCAAATTTTAGTTCTATTTCGAAATATAAAATGTATCTGCTCTAAATGTTGTCTAGTACTGGTATTATACTAACAAAAGTACTATGGCAGCCACTTTATGTAACTGATTGACCACAGCATCTCACAAACTGTGTAGAGTCCTTGAACCTTCCTAGGACTAATAGGACATAACCTCTGGCCAGAAAGTCATGTGAACATGTCATTGCAGTCCAAAGAATGCAGCTGTAAATATTTTGCAGTGTTGAACTGTGTCTTCAAGGAAGCCCAGGAAAATTGCCTACATTGGCAAATGTTTTAGCCTCATTTGAGGGGTATAGAAAAAAATAAGGCACTATGTGTCAAAAGGAGCGCAAATAAAGACAACACGCTACCTCAGAAGTTCAGGTGAAATTCCATTCCACATTTCTTTGATTTTCACTACAGAGGTAATCTTGACAATTTATAAATTATATTAATTCATGTTTTACATGTACTTTGGAAAATGAATATTTCAGGGAAACCTGTGTTTTATAATTTTGTAAGCAGAAGTCATACCTTAAGTTTTTTAAAACGAAGTTTTTTTTTTTTTAAAAATATAACCTGTGCATTATTCTTTACTGGAAAATTCTATTGTAAGCAGATGAGCATAGCACTTACCTAAGCCATCAAATGAACATTAAAATTATAATATTGTACAGAACTCATTTTTATAGTGCTATTTGGCAAAATGCAATTTTACTTTCTCTTCGGGAAGAAGATATTTTAAGCTAATAACCATTACCTACAATCTCAAAATGAGGGGCATAACTTTGAAAACTCTTGTAAAGGTACTAC